CAAAGCCCCAGCAGATAGTTGTATGTCATAGGTTCACATCCTTCTAGTTGCTGTACGTGGGACTCGGCCTCGCGCTGGACGGAGAAGTGGTGCCTTGGGGCGCGCCCGGGATCCGAACCCAGGCCGCCAGCATCAGAGCGCGCGCACTTAACCGCTAAGCCACAGAGCCGGCCCATAACCTGTGTTTTAAAAAGCCCTCTAAAGGTGATTCTGATGCCCTATTCCATTTCCCTGCTTAATTCGTCTCCAAAGAACTTCTTTCACCATTTAACAGACATTTTACTAATTTTATATTGCTCATGTCCCTCCATCCCCCCCTGCCCCGCTAGAATACAGCTCCAAGAGGGCAAGGATTTTCATATGTTCTGAAGCCTCTTTGTCTCCCACTAAGTACACCAGAGGTCTCAGTATTTGCTGAACTTTCTTCTAAGGAACACTAATGGGGCTGTGACTACTAAATCTGTATTTCTAATACAGACTTCATTGGACATAGCCACCTACACGTCCCATAGGCCCCTCAAATTAGGCATATTCAAAATGATATTCATAGGGCCGGCCCAGTGGTGTAGCGGTTAAGTTCGTGCGTTCCGCTTTGGTGTCCCAGGGTTTCCCAGTTCAGATCCTGGGTGTAGACCTACTTGTCACTCATCAAGCCACGCTGAGGTGGTGTCCCGTATAGAAGAGCTACAATTCTACAACTATGACATACAACTATGTACTGGGGCTTTGGGGAAGAAAAAAAAGAAAAAGAGGAAGATTGGCAACACATGTTAGCACAGGGCCACTCTCCCTTAAAAAAAAAAAATGATATTCATTATCTTAATGTCCTCAGCCTGCTCTGCCTCCAAAATTCTTGGACTTCATTCATCACCATCCACCTAGTTACCCCAACCAGAAAACTTCCATGCTCTCTACCTCTTTGTTCCCCACTCTTTACACACACTGCAGTCCTGTGGAGTCTATTGGCTACATGCTTTTCAAAATCCATCTTCTCTCCCCATCCTTACTGCTTAAGTTAGCCCTTATCATTTCTCTCCTGGTTTTCAGTTAGAGCCTTCCAACTGATCTTGTTTTTCCTTCCTTTGATTTATCTTCTGTATTTCTAATATAGACTTTCTAAAAAACAAATCATGTTATTTCTCTACTGGACCTTTCTGCACTCCATCCCCGTTCCTCAAACTCAAGTCCAAACTCCTTAGCATGGCATTATGTGCCTTTCCTTAAATGATCCCTGGCTAGTTAACCAGACTCGCTAACAACCACATATCCACAAAATCCTTCCCTCTACCACTCTGAAATTTCTGCAGCAACTCCAGAGTGCCATGCTTTCTTCCGCCTCTATGAGTTTGCACATGCTGTTCCCTAGACTGTGCATC